TAAAAATGCTTCCACCTTTCCAAATTATAGCCTTAACATCCCAATTTCTCTGAGTATGTAAAACAGAACTAAACCCTCCTTATCCTTTACAGCCAAGGAAGCTGCCATTTTAGTCTGTTTGATCTGCAGTTGCCTGTTAGCATATATCAGCTGACTTGTGCATAGTCAGGGAAGCAAAAAACTTATTCACTGTACCATTAGGTGTCGCATGGCATAAGGGTAAGGCCAGGTTGCCAGCCTACACACTTTCGGGTGCCTTTTACCTGTCAGGTGATTGTCATTTCACTGCTCTATTTATAAATAGCAGCAGCCCAGGAAATGGCTTAAAATGGTGATACATTTTTGGGATTGTATATCTGTTACAAGGCTGATAAGTCTGATTATGCCGCTTGATTGGCAAATACTTTTATTTCAGCTAACAGAAAAGTTTGTTGTTTTTTTTTTTTTTTTTTTTTACTGTTTCAATACTAAAATAATTGGAATTGTTTACTTTATAACAAAGATAATATGATTATGTTTTCCAAAGCGAAAATTCCCAAAGAATTTTTCTTCCCAAAACAGGCTTCGTGTGCACATGGATGTTTATTAGCACCAAAATCCTCAAGCATAAAATCCCCAGCACTTTCCCAAGCCTAGGGAGCTGTAGGTGGTACAGCCTGCCATTCAAGTGAATTTCTGTACATGTCCATACTTAATTGCCAGAGTTCCTGTACATCAGCATTTATCCTCACACACATGTACTGCACATGCTGTATGCACATGTGCAGGTAAACACAGATGCATCAGCACGTACAGTCACTTATATGGCAGGCTGCATGCATTACCAGCAGCTCTCCAGCTGTGAGAAGGTGCCTTGGATTTTATGCTTCAAAGCAAATAAAATATTTGTGTGCCTTCTACATGTACTACACAGTGGGGCTGATTTACTAATACTGGAGCTTGCAAACTCGGGTGCAGCTCTACAGAGAAACCAACCAGCTTCCAGTTTTTTTTTTGCTAACGCTTAATGGAACAAGCTGAAGCTAGAAGCCGATTGGCTACCATGCACAGCTGCACCAGATTTTGCAACCTTCAGTTTTAGCAAATCGACGCTACTGTGTGCTTGATTAGCTTCAATAGAGTGCAGGGGCTTTCAATCACATTCACAACAACTCTGCAGTGCTGTGCAACCTTCTCAGAGATCCCCTTTATTCGTCAGCTGCTCTGACTGTCTGAAACAACTGTGTCCTCCTTTCAGCCCTCTCCTGCGGCTTTCCCTCAACACTTACAGCCATTTCATGTCTGTTGGGACTTGAAGAGTAATTATACAGCTACAGGAACAGCTGCTCTCAACCACACACTCACATTATCTTTACTTTGCATTTCTTCTGAATCACCTGTGACTGGTGTTTAGAAACACTGCATAGGCAAGATAAAAACAAAACAAAAAACAAAGTAACATTATTTTTGTTTCATTCCTATGAAGATCAAAGGAGACACCTTTGATTTGCATATGATATCACCTAAAATGTGTTCCTGTTTAACCCCTTATTAACTGTCAAGGTAACCCTAATCAACCAAATTAACATTTTCCCTCACAGTACGTGCATGCTGTATGTTACGGGAATACACAGTAAAGCAGGCCATAGACTAGTCCAAAACGGAATGCTCTGACAATCAAAAACTAAAAATGGCATTCGTTTTAGCATAGGATTGTGCGATCAGTTTTGTTTTTCTAAAAAAAAATCCAGCATGTTGGATCAGGCACTTTTGGTTGTGGCACGAAAATCGTGTGTCGCAGCTGGCACACGAATAATGCGAAATACGACAATCTGACACATGGGAATGGGCCTTTATTTTAGTATAAAGCTAAACAGAGGAAGCAGAAAGTCCACCTTCACATACAATATTTCACGGGAGTACACCCCTCACATTTTTGTAAATATTTTATTCTATCTTTTCATGCGACAACACTGAAAAAAATTACACTTTGCTACAATGTGACGTAGTGAGTGTACAGCTTGTATAACAGTGTAAATTTGCTGTCCCCTCAAAATAACTCAACACACAGCCATTAATGTGTAAACTGCTGGAAACAGAAGTGAGTACACCCTTAAGTGAAAATGTCCAAATTGGGCCCAAAGTGTCAATATTTTGTGTGGCCACCATTATTTTCCAGCACTGTCTTAACCCTCTTCGGTATGGAGTTCACCAGAGCATCACAGGTTGCCACTGGAGTCCTCTTTTACTCCTCCATGACGACATCACAGAGCTGGTGGATGTTAGAGACCTTGTGCTCCTCCACCTTCTATTTGAGGATGCCCCACAGATGCTCAATAGGGTTTAATTCTGGAAACATGCTTGGCCAGTCCATCACCTTTAACCTCAGCTTCTTTAGCAAAGCAGCGGTCATCATGGAGGTGTGTTTGGGGTCGTTACGGTGGAATATTGCCTTGCGGCCCAATCTCCGAAAGGAGGGGATCATGCTCTGCTTCAGTATGTCACAGTACATGTTGGCATTCCTGGTTTCCTCAATGAACTGTAGCTCTCGAGTGCCAGAAGCACTTATGCAGCCCAAGACCATGACACTCCCCACCACCATGCTTGACTGTAGGTAAGACACACTTGTCTTTGTACTCCTCACACTGGTTGCCGTCACATCTGCTTAACATCATCTGAACCAAATAAGTTGATCTTGGTCTCATCAGACCACAGGACATGGTTCCAGTAATTCATGTCCTTAGTCTGTTTGTCTTCAGCAAACTGTTTGCGGGCTTTATTGTGCATCATCTTTAGAAGAGGCTTCCTTCTGGGATGACAGCCATGCAGACCAATTTGATGCAGTGTGTGGCGTATGGTCTGAGCACTGACAGGCTGACCCCCTCACCCCTTCAACCTCTGCAGCAATGCTGGCAGCACTCATACGTCTATTTCCCAAAGACAGCCTCTGGATATGACGCTGAGCACGTGCACTCAACCTCTTTGGTCGACCATGACGAGGCCTGTTCTGAGTGGAACCTGTCCTGTTAAACTGCTGTATGGTCTAGGCCACTGTGCTGCAGCTCAATTTCAGGGTCTTGGCAATCTTCATATAGCCTAGGCCATCTTTATGTAAAGCAACAATTTTTTTTGCAGATCCTCAAAGTTCTTTGCCATGAGGTGCCATGTTGAACTTCCAGTGACCAGTATGAGAGTGAGAGTGATAACACCAAATCTAACACCCCTGCTTCCCATTCACACCTGAGACCTTGTAACACTAACATCACATGACACTGGGGAGGGAAAATGGCTAATTGGGCCCAATTTGGACATTTTCACTTAGGGGTGTCCTCACTTTTGTTGCCAGTGGTTTAGACATTAATGGCTGTGTGTTGAGTTATTTTCAGGGGACAGCAAATTTACACTGTTATACAAGCTGTACACTCACTACGTCACATTGTAGCTACTACAAAATCAATAGTACCATCTTTTAATTCTAGGGTAGTGGTTGCCAAACTGCGGTCCTTTGCTTGCCTTTAACTGGCCCTTGAGTTATTATTTCTGCCACTGACACCAACATTGGGGCATAATTCCTGCCACTGACACCAATGATGGGGCATAATTCCTGACACAGACAGTAACAAGGCATAATTCCTGCCACTGACAGAGCATAATTCCTGACATGGACAACAAAAATGGGGGCACTATCGCTTCCAACGACACCAACTATTTCTCGCCGATACAAAAAACTGGGCATTGTTTACTTCAACTGGGCACAGTCCAACCCCTATAAAGCCTGAAGGACGGTAAACTGGCATTTCTTTAGAAAGTTTGGAGACCCCTGTTGTATGGGACCTGCACGTTCAAAAAACATGGTTTGGGGCATTTACAAACCTTCAAAAGTTGTAAGTGAAAAACTGTGAAAATTGCAAAAATGGCCTTGTCACATCATGTGAAAAATGGAAAGCAAGGCCTGGCAGGAAGACAGAGTTAAAGGCAACCTGTACTCTGCCAAATGTTGGCAAACTGCACCGGATTCGGACTTCAAAGGCTTTGTACTTGTGTTTGTTTCTGATAGTTTGTTGGCACTATTAAAGCCCTGTGCCACATGTTAGTGCATCACATGCCTTGAAAAGGGGATCCTGTGAGGTCCCAAAACAAAGGTTTGTGATGCTTGTTGCTCTATGTGAACTAACAACAAGATCACCACTACACTAAGATGTGCTGTTGAAGATCTTCATTTTCCAAGGAAACAGCACCTGACAAATAACAGCAGACCTCTTAAAGCTGAATTAAACTTCAGCTGTCAAACAGCAAGCAAACAGGCTCCAGGACTTCTCCAGGGCGTCACCCATACTTTGGAACTCCCTACCCCAATCCATCAGACTATTACCTACTCTCCTCTCCTTTAGGCGCACCCTGAAAACCCACCTCTTCAGGGAAGCCTACCCCACCCCCTGCTAATTCCCGACCTCCTCCACTCTTCCTACCACTCCATCCCCCACAGCTATTTCCTCCTGTACCACTATCTCCTCCCTCCTAGATTGTAAGCTCCAAGGAGCAGGGCACTCGAACCCCTCGTGTATCGCATTGTATTGTTATTGTACTGTCGCATGTTCTATCTCCCATTGTAATGTACAGCGCTAAGCGTACTGTTGGCGCTTTATAAATACCGTATAATAATAATTGCAAAAAAATACATGCAATGTCTCTTCTGCAACAAAATACACCAATCTGCCTGCTCACAGCATTCCCTGGCATGTAAACTGAGCTGTGAATGTGCAGCTCAGCTTACTTCGCAGACATGGCCTGGCACCCAGCAGAAAAAGCCGGCACTGTCGAGGGACAAGGAACGCTGAAAACTTTAGCTCAGCTTTAACGTGCTTACAGGTTGCTTTTGCAGTCCTGAAGAGGATCTCCAGGAGCCCCAAGAGCTGTAGAGCACAAATACAGATTTCAGTCTGTAGTACAGGTTCCTCTTTCTTATGCTTACTTGTTGGATATTGAATAGAAAACACTAAATTTTTTAAATATAAAATTACCTTTTCTGTGATTTACTAGAGTCTCCACCACTGCATGTAGTTTCCGCAGATGCTGCTCCTCACATTCCACCTCTTGAAATTTGTCCTCAAACCACTAAAGGAAACATTCAATTCAATGAAAGTTTTTAACTCCATCTCTGGGCAAAAAGAAAGAAAAAAAAAAGTTTTCCCAGGCAGTAGTGCTGTGCCCGCACTGCATGGCCTAACTGCTCATTTTTGTTTAGGGGTGAGGAAAAAGGAGATATGCTTACCTAATTCTCGGACCGTCCCAACACAAAACTGGTTGCAGCACCCTCACGCTCCATCATTCTTAAGTTGTGGGTGGTTCCTGACGTCATAAAGCCCAGAGCAGGTTCCATAGACCAGGAACAGTCCACCGCTGGACCGCAGGGAGCACAGTTTTCCAGTGGAACGATAGATCAGGTAAGAATAAGCTCTCTCTTCACCCTTAGTCAAAAAGAGCAGTTGACCCGTGCAGTGTGGGCACAGCCCCACTGCATGGGGGAAAAAAAAAAAAAAAAAAAAAAAATTGTTTTTGCCTGGAGTTGGGCTTTAAAGAATGGTCAAAAGTAAAAAAAAAAAAAAAAAAAAAAAAAAAAAAAATCATTAACATGAACACATTAAACATCCTCAGTGTTACAAACCCGAGCCTCTACTATATTTAGCACAAGGGAAATAGAATAGGTAAATAAGCTCATTTACCTTGTTGTTGTGAATGAAAGTTAGCAAAGCAATAATATACCTGGGTGCTTGAACACTCTTACTGTAAAAGTATTTAGATTTAGATTTTTTTCAGCCAAGTGAATAGTTTTAGTCTGTGTATAAGTGTGTTAATGCCCCACAGTGCCTAAAAGTGTACTTAAAAAGGCAAACATTTTTTTTTTTTCCTAGGTGCTCAGTCATCTTTTTATTCTAGTATGCATCCCCAATGGGGAAATTCATCCCTTCATTTGTCCTGGTGATAACTGTCACCAAGGCAGAAATTGATCCAAAATGTTAGAGTTGTCACTGGAGCAAGAAGTAAGGGTAAAGCTTCCAATCTTGAAATAAGTTCAGGTGACAACTGTCTAAGATGGAAATTCCCCTAATTTAGGGAAAATCTCCTTTTAATTACCTACTGTGCTGCAAAAAAAGAAAATGCAGCAATTTTTGTTTGACAGGCAGTTTTTCTAAAAAAGTAGAATAGCAAAGTTCTATCTGTAACGTTTAAAGTGATTGCTGTGTCTCAGCCAATGAGGAGAGAGAGACCTTCTGGATCCCGAAAATGACAGGTGTTCTGTGCAGCGAATATGTGAAAATCAATAATACGATGAGAGAAGCAGTTGCTGTACAGCTGCTTGTGTCCAGAGTTGTGTCCATCTCTGTACAGATGTAAATGCTGACATGTGCTCTAAGATCCAAACAGACATAGTGTCTCTCAGTGCATCACTGATTTAGACAGGATGGCTGCAGGCAGCTGCAAGGAACTCCTTAACATTCCCCAGGCACAAAGACCTCTTCAGAGAGGGCCTATGAAACTGTGAGAATAAAGCCTAAATATGAAAAAAAAAAAAAAAAAAAAACTCCTTTTTGGTCTGGTAAATATTAAAAAAATTAAAAGCATTTTAGTATTATCTGCAAGTGTAAAAAAAACCTGCTGATCCTGCCAGAAATCCAGGGCTGTCCTGTGCACAGTGCAGCATTATCTCAAGCACTCTTGTCAGCCTCAGTTCAAGTATGAAACACAGAACACCCACCTCCCTTTTGGTATGGAGATAAGATAGTGGGAGGTGTTCCGTAGTCCAAAATAGGTGACAGTGCTGCTTCACAATTGATACAGTAACATGTGAGCATGATCACCCAAGGACAAGAAGTTCATGGTCACCCACGGACATAAAGGAAACAAAATGGAATGGAAAAGAAAAGTAATGCAGCCACCATGCAGAAGGGCTGGTAAGCTACAATATATTACATGTTTGTTCTTGGGTGAATATACATTTTGAATCTGTACTTTTTCTATAGTAAACAGTGAGCAAACATGACTATTTTTAATAAAGGTTAGGAACAGCTTGCTTACTGTCTATACAAGTGTTATAATGCACGGTCTGAAAAACAAGGCAGTGAAGCCATTATTACACTAATTATTTTTCACTCTTTTTTTCTGGAAGGAATTTAGGGTTCTTGATTCTAGAGAATTGGAGAAAACTGCTACTAAGAATGTACAGTCTAATAGAAAAGTGAAGGTAAGACATAGGAATAACTACGTTCTGCTTTTGTTTGACCGTATACAAAGGATAAATGTATCTTAAATCTTACTACAAATCAGTCAGGAAAAAAAAATGTCTAAAAAAAGGACTAATTTGGTACTCACAACATCAGATTCATTCATCTTGATGGTCATTTTGTTGACAGCATCAGTAGCTCTATTGAACATCTTGAGGAGTCCAGCTCCACTCAGAGCCTGAGTGCTGACAGCACGAGGAAGCTAAAAGAGGAAAACATCACTTGGTTTTTTTTTTTCTCTTGCAACACACATTCTTCAGATATCTCTCCACTAAGAATTCCTAGGCTAATAAAAATTTACCTCATCCTTTTCTAAAAATTCACGAACATCCGGGTCTTGTAATAGTGTTGGGTGGGCGACAATTCTCTGCAGGTACCTGTGGGAGAACAAATGAGGGTTTATATATAATCCATCAGTGTGACAACTTCTAAGTGTGGGTCTCCAAGGGACTCTTTTCCCTGTGACCAAGAAATAGATGTTACTCAGGGTCAACCTTCTCAAAATGATTTTCCTCCCTAAGTTTCTTTATGCGGGGGCTAACTTCCAGTGTAAAATCCCTATGATTGTTTTTAAACAGCTAGATTATATTTGCCGGGACTTTTTGTGGCAAAGAAAGCATCCCAGAGTAGCCCAGGACATTCTTAAACTTCCTACTCATATGGTCAGCCTGGCCCTTCCAGACTTCTACTACTACTATTTAGCTTTCCTAATTAGTGTACATAAGTGACTGGCTGGTCCCTTCTCCAGCCTATACAAAAGTGGAGGCAACTATTGTCTCCTTATATAAAATGTTACATAATCTGGCATATAGACATGAGGTTCCCACCCCCATGGGCACTACAGTTCTTCGTACTTCCCTTACACTTTTGTCTAAAATTAAAAACCGCCTGCAGAAATCTATTTGGCATATCTCCCTGAATACTCCACTTTGGCATAATCTGCTCTTCCAGCGCTTTTTTCTATCCTGGACTCTAGACGCTGATCTGCTAGAGGCGTTAATTATCTACATCAACTCTATGCAGGCCGAACGTTTAAAATATTCTCTCAACTACAAGCTGATTTTCATTTTCCTTATACCCATTTGTTTTATCAACTTAGGCATGCTGTTCAGAAAAAATTGGGCCCCTTTAACGTGGAACTTTAGTCAGAAAATCAAGTCCTGCTAGATATAGCCAAGCCCCTTTTGCAGGTATAGCTATGTAAAACATTACAAATTAAGTGTCTATACTGTTTAAAATCCAGTAAAACACTGCCTCACCCTGTTCTGCACATGCTCAGTTACTCTGCATTTTAGGCATTTTTAGGCACTTCCAAATTTGTGAGACCAAACTGCAGACAGCCTTAAAGCGGAAATAAACTCTCCTATCCTTTACAGCCAAGGAAGCTGCTTCTGTTTGATCTGCAATTGCCATGGTGTTGTACATGTGATCAGTTATGAAACCAGCCATTTGATGGTTTGACAGTTTGGTTGAGGACACAAGCAAATGTGAGTTACAATCCTGGAATGCCAGGATTGTGTTTTTTTTAAACTGTTAAATTGATGGGATTATTTCCCTTTTATGATTTACTGGGGCACTAGACTTCAGCAAAAAGGCAGCAAGAAGAAACTGGACAATTTACAGCACACACTAATTTTGGTAGCATAATTATTAATGTGGAATGTATATTCTTTGCTAAAGAACATTTTTTTTTATCAAGTTGTTATGGGTAAAGTTCCACTTTAACTAATCCCACCTGTGTGTCTCCTTTATAGAAGCTGCTTCGCTCTTCAGGCCCCAACAGGCGGATTTCTGACCATTACCTGGCACTGTGTGCGAAGGCTCATCCTAGATATGCACAGGCCCAGATTAAATGGACTTCGCCAGATATTCTGCTTGATTGGTCTGAATTTGAACACTACTATAATAAATGGTTATAGCCTCAAAATTCAGATAAAATTGTTTCACCATAGTTACTTCACTCCTGCCAGATTGCATAGACTGGGCCCTACATTGTTCACCAGTTTGCTTCTGGGGCTGTGGTGTAAATACTGATTTCCTCCATTGCCTATGGAATTGCCCCATTGTCTCTGCTTTCTGGTCGAAAGTAAATACTTTTCTCTCCACTTTGCGACTGCCCAGTATCCTTCACTCTAAGAATTGCCTTTTGGGCATCTTTGGAGATTTACCTCTTTCCAAGTATAATAAACAGCTGCTACGAATACTTTTTATGTAAAGAAATCCTTATGTCTTGGAAAGGTGCCCCTCCTCTGTCACTCGAAGCTTGGAAGACTATGGTAAGTAGTAATCTCCCCTAGTTTAGGCTAACCTATAAGCTCCCTAAACGACCTTGACTTTTTGAGAATGTATGGGGCCACTGAATAGACAATACTCATAAGGCTACCTCTGTAGATCCAGGAACCTGATTTTTCACAGTCCTTAACTGTATAATTTTTTGACATCACTGTTTTTGATAGCACCAAATTTGCTATACTGGATATTCTATATTATATACTTCACTGTATGTAATCTGAGTTTTGCTTGGCCCTTCTGGGATGTTTTCTATGTGTTGTAAAACTCAATAAAAATATCTTTATTTAAAAAAAGAAAAAAAAAAAAAAGGATGTCACTATTCTATAATTCTTGTTATTAGGTTTCTTACCTCTCCAGAGCAGCTCGTCTTCGCTCCAAAAACTCAGCTGAAGAGGAATCCTCTTTCCCAACTTTCACTTTAGTCATACCTGAATAAATGCATAATACACTATAACAGAGGAAGTTCACACATGTGAATCATGCAAATGGCTAAATCTGTAATAGATCATCTTAATATCCAGTGCTAAAAATATACATACAAAATATGTGCATAGATTAGTGATATATTCAAGGTACTAAGTGTAAACAATAAATACCTTATTAATGTAAACAAAAGTCCTTTAAGCACTTGCCCTCCTGTGGATTTATCCCCCTTCCTGACCAGGCCATTTTTTGCATTATGGTGCTGCGTTACTTTGACAATTGCGTGGTCATGCAATGCTGCACTCAAATGAAATTTATGTCCTAATTTTTTGTTCACGAATTGAGCTCTCTTTCAGTGGTATTTGATCGCCTGTGTGTTATTTATTTTGTGCGTTATTAACCATTTCAATACCGGGCAATTTTACACCTTCCTGCCCAGGCCATTTTTTCACGTTTCAGCGCTCTCACACTTTGAATGACAATTGCGCGGTCATACAACATTGTACCCAAACTAAAATTTTATCATTTTCTTCACACAACTAGAGCTTTCTTTTGGTGGTATTTAATCACCGCCGGGGTTTTTATTTTTTGCTAAATTAACAAAAAAAGACCAAACATTTTGAAAAAAAAAACACACGTTTTTCTTTGTTTCTGTTATAAAAGTTTACAAATAAATAATTGTTCTTCATAAATTTAGGCCGAGATGTATTCTGCTACATGTCTTTGGTGAAAATAACCCAAATTAGGATGTATTATTTAGTTTGTAGGAAAGTTATAGAGTTCACAAACTATGGCAGTGGTGGCGTGCCACAGCCGGCCACAGCCGAGCCGAGCCTTATCTGTGGGCACGCCAGGAGAATCCAGCGGCGCGCTGTCTTCCCGGCTGTAGTGTGCGTGACAGCCGGGTCCCAAGTGCGCATGCACAAGAAGCAGTGCTCCTTGTGAATGGTAAGGCGGTACCTGGGACACATGACAGATCCCAGAAGCCGCCGGACCAATCACAAAGCGCAGCGCTTCTCGCGCATGCGCACTGGGCATCCGGCTGTCCGACGAGCGCCCACACTACAGAAGCCGGGAAGACAGCGAGCAGCTGGATCGAGGAACAGGTAAGATAAAAAAAAAAAACTCTGCGGAAGTAAGAGCGGGTACCTGTCAAATTCAGGTACCCGCTCCCCCTCCCTCCCCAAAGGTCAGCAGTCATCCCCGTGCTGTGTCCCCAGTCTCTGGTCATCCCCGTGCTGTGTCCCCAGTCTCTGGTCATCCCCGTGCTGTGTCCCCAGTCTCTGGTCATCCCCGTGCTGTGTCCCCAGTCTCTGGTCATCCCCGTGCTGTGTCCCCAGTCTCTGGTCATCCCCGTGCTGTGTCCCCAGTCTCTGGTCATCCCCGTGCTGTGTCCCCAGTCTCTGGTCATCCCCGTGCTGTGTCCCCAGTCTCTGGTCATCCCCGTGCTGTGTCCCCAGTCTCTGGTCATCCCCGTGCTGTGTCCCCAGTCTCTGGTCATCCCCGTGCTGTGTCCCCTCCTGTAGTCCCCAGTCTCTGGTCATCCCTGTGCTGTGTCCCCAGTCTCTGGTCATCCCTGTGCTGTGTCCCCAGTCTCTGGTCATCTCCTGTGCTGTGTCCCCAGTCTCTGGGCATCTGGTGCTGTGTCCCCATCTCCTGTGCTGTGTCCCCAGTCTCAGTCTCTGGTCATCATCCCTGTGCTGTGTCCCCAGTCTCTGGTCATCCCTGTACTGTGTCCGCAGTCTCTGGTCATCCCTGTACTGTGTCCGCAGTCTCTGGTCATCCGCAGTCCTGTACTGTACTGTGTCCGCAGTCAGTCTCTGGTCATCCCTGTACTGTGTCCGCAGTCTCTGGTCATCCCTGTACTGTGTCCGCAGTCTCCCTGGTGTCATCATCCTGTACTGTGTCCGCAGTCTCTGGTCATCCCTGTACTGTGTCCGCAGTCTCTGGTCATCCCTGTACTGTGTCCGCAGTCTCTGGTCATCCCTGTACTGTGTCCGCAGTCTCTGGTCATGGTCATCCCTGTACTGTGTCCGCAGTCTCTGGTCATCCCTGTACTGTGTCCGCAGTCTCTGGTCATCCCTGTACTGTGTCCGCAGTCTCTGGTCATCCCTGTACTGTGTCCGCAGTCTCTGGTCATCCCTGTACTGTGTCCGCAGTCTCTGGTCATCCTGTCCGCATCTCTGGTCATCCCCTGTACTGTGTCCGCAGTCTCTGGTCATCCCTGTACTGTGTCCGCAGTCTCTGGTCATCCCTGTACTGTGTCCGGTCATCCCTGTACTGTGTCTCTCTGGTCATCCCTGTACTGTGTCCGCAGTCTCTGGTCATCCCTGTACTGTGTCCGCAGTCTCTGGTCATCCCTGTACTGTGTCCGCAGTCTCATCCCTGTCATCCGCAGTGTATCTGTACTGTCCGCAGTCTCTGGTCATCCCTGTACTGTGTCCGCAGTCTCTGGTCATCCCTGTACTGTGTCCGCAGTCAGTCTCTGTCTCTGTCATTCCTGTACTGTGTCCACAGTCTCTGGTCATTCCTGTACTGTGTCCACAGTCTCTGGTCATCCCTGTACTGTGTCCGCAGTCTCTGGTCATCCCTGTACTGTGTCCGCAGTCTCTGGTCATCCCTGTACTGTTAATTAGTTTGCACTACTGTACGAGTTGTTTTTTCTAAACCAAAAGCTCGATATTCAGGTTTCATTGCAGTGTTGGCACTTTGAAAGAAATAAGTTGGTTTTGGGTTGCAGTTTGGGCACTCGGGCTCAAAAAGGTTCGCCATCACTGAACTATGGTATAGATCTGAAAATTGATCAATCCTGAAGTACTGACGGCCAATCTAATTTCTTGAGGTCCAAGAATGTCAGAATAGTACAGATATCCTCCAAATGACCCCTTTTTGCAGAGTAGACAGTCGGACGTACTTCATAAGAGGAATGGCGAGTTTTCTGAAGTTTTATTTTTTTTTGTCATAATTTTTCGGAAAATGAAAAAAATGAAAACAATTATTTTCACTATTTTTTTTTTTTTACATATTGTCACCAGTGCAGTACAGCGTCATCATATAACTGGCATGGCGGTGAACAGGGACACTGACTGGTGACAGTATGAAAAAAAATATATATATTTTTATTTTATTTTTTTTATTTCATTTTTTTTTAAGATTTTTTTTTAAGATTTTACTATGACCAAAGTAGTACAATGTTACCATAGTAACATTGTACTACTTTGGGGAAGTGATCAGTATTTTTTTTTTTTTTTTTTTCTTTACACAATTTGCTTATAGCAAAGAATTACTTTGCTATAAGCAAGCATTTACCTGAATGAAATCGATTCATTCAGGTTTTTTTTTTTTGGTTTTTTTTGTGCTTAGCTGTGATTTGGCCACAGCTAATCACATGACATGTGCATGTGACCTGCTGTGACCATTCACAGCTAGGCACTAGTATACAATGGATGGCATGAATGAAGCCATTCATTGTATACAACTGTCATGTGACCTGCTGTGATTGGTCACAGCAGGTCACATGGTACCGGCAACGGGAGCCGGTACTCAGAAATGTCATCGGCCGTGTCCGAGGTACACGGCCGGTGACAGATCGCGCCGCTGCATGGCTCTGCAACCGCGCATGTGCGGGAGCACGCCAAATGGCGTGCACCCGGAAAGCTAAAGTGCTTTTAATGCCGCCAAACAGCTATAGGCCGGGCGGCTAATGGTTAAAAAAAAAAAAAAGACAAGACTTGACAATTTTCAGAAAAAAACAAAACAATATTTTTGACTTGTTGCTATTAAACATGAAACATGTCCAGTAAAAGATAAAAAAAAAAAAAAAAAAAAAAAAAATCAAATTTCGTCAAATTTAGGCCAAAATGTATTCTGCTCCATGTCTTTGCTAAAAAAAAAAAATCCCAACACGTCAAAATTAGCTGGTTTACGTGAAAGTTATAGCATTTACAAATGGCGTTATATATACTGGGATTTTTTATTTTTTACTAGTAATGGCGGCGATCAGCAACTTATAGCGGGACTGCGGCGGGTATTCTGACACTGGTGGGAACTTATTTTGTGTCCCTGACATCCCCAGTGACACCAATACAGTGATCAGTGCTAAAAAAAAAAAAAAAAGGCACTGGCACTGTACTAATGGCAATGAGCAGGAAGGGGTTAACAAAGGGCAATCAAAGTGTGTCTCTGTAAGCACACTGCTTTGGATGGCTGTGCTGTGCACAGCCATCCAAAGCAGTGTGTACGAGCTGACGGGGAGAACAGTTTTGTTTACAAACAGTTCTCCTCCCTGTCGGCGATGCTCGCCAATCACCGGGTGCCGCTCACTTACTGGCCTGGACCCGGTGATCGACAGCACGCCCCCTACCCGGAAATGCAAAACCACATATATATATATATATATATATATATATATATATATATATATATACATACACACACACACACACACACACACACACGTGATTTTGCACACCCATGCGGCCCTGTAGCAGTATTTCTTAACAAAGATTGCTTAACAAAGGGTAGAATAAATTGTTGGAAAAGAAGCACACAGGTGGCGCAAACACCTAGCGCATTATCCAAGGTTTATTAAAGCCACAGGGATGGCCAAACATGAAGGCAGAGTGTCTGAGTGGTGGTGAGGTCGGCCTGCTGACGTGTCCCCTTCCTCAGAGCTGGAGCCAACAAAGGTTAATGCCCTAATATATATGAATGCAACAAGTGCCGCCTATAGCAAGACTCCTCCATTGCTCTCTGAGCTCGAAACGTGTCAGTAAGGCTGACCTCACCACCAGTCAGACACACTGCCATCACGTTGGGCCATCCCTGTGGCTTTATATGCATCTTATTTTGTGAGTATGTTTTCTGTTTTTAACAATTTTAATAAACCTTGGATAATGCGCTAGGTGTTTGCGCCACCTGTGTGCTTCTTTTCCAGTTTTGGTTTGATCTCCCAGCCTGAGGAGGGCTGCATCACCAAGATTCTATTCCAAGGCCATCAATACATCCGATTCCCTGGTTTCTTCCTGGCACTGACCCCTTTGAGGTGCTGAAGAGTTAGTGTTTCCAGTCTAGAATATATTGTTCACATACAGTAGTAAATGCGGCATTTCTAATAATTTCACTACCTCCATATTGCATATACCTAATAATTTTACACCAATATATCTACCTGTACACGCTTACACCGCTCATGTGATAAATACACAGATTACATACTATGTTTACTCATTGCTTACTACAATTGCTACAACATCACATTGCTTATACTACACATGTAACACAGAACCTGTACCAAAATTAACAATATAGTGTAACGAAACACCTGAGAGCGACCCATTCTTTCACAATGGAGGGTTTTTACTAACAGAAATAGAATCAGCACAAGGGACACATCCTACTGACTAAGTTACAGTGGGGATCGAAAGTTTGGGCACCCCAGCTAAAAATTTGTATTAATGTGCATAAAGAAGCCAAGGAAAGATGGAAAAATCTCCAAAAGGCATCAAATTACAGATTAGACATTCTTATAATATATGTCAACAAAAGTTAGATTGTATTTCCATCATTTACACTTTCAAAATGACAGAAAACGAAAAAATGGTGTCTGCAAAAGTTTGGGCACCCTGCAGAGTTAATATCTTGTACTGCCCACTTTGGCAAGTATCACAGCTTGTAAACGCTTTTTGTAGCCAGCCAAGAGTCTTTCAATTCTTGTTTGAGGTATCTTTGCCCATTCTTCCTTACAAAAGTCTTCCAGTTCTTTGAGATTTCTGGGCTGTCTGTCACGCACTGCTCTTTTAAGGTCTATCCATAGATTTTCAATTATGTTGAGGTCAGGAGATTGTGAAGGCCATGGCAAAACCTTCAGTTTACGCCTCTTGATGTAATCCCCCGTGGATTTCGAGGTGTGTTTAGGATCATTATCCATTTGTAGAAGCCATCCTCTCTTTAACTTTAGCTTTTTCACAGATGGCATAAAGTTACCATCCAAAATTTGCTGAAATTTTATTGAATCCATTTTTCCTTCTACTCGTGAGATGTTCCCTGTGCCACTGGCTGCAACACAACCCCAAAGCATGATTGATCCAACCCCATGCTTAACAGTTGGACAGAGGTTCTTTTCATTAAATTCTGTGCCCCTTCTTCTCCAAACGTACCTTTGCTCATTCCGGCCAAAAAGTTCAATTTTAACCTCATCGGTCCACAGAACTTGTTTCCAAAATACATCAGGCTTGTCTATATGTTCATTTGCAAAGTTCAAACGATGATTTTTGTGGTGAGGACGTAGAAGAGGTTTTCTTCTGATGACTCTTCCATGAAGACCATATTTGTACAAGTATCTCTTTATAGTGGAATAGTGTACCACAACTCCAGTGTCTGCCAGATCTTTCTGGAGGGATCATGCAGTCAAACGTGGGTTTTGAATTGTTTTTCTCACAATCCTGTGAGCTGTTCTGTCTGATATTTTTCTTGGTCTTCCAGATCTTGCTTTAACTTCCACTGTTCCTAATGACTGCCATTTCTTAATTACATTCTGAACAGAGGATATTGACATCTGAAAACGCTTTGCTATCTTCTTATAGCCTTCTCCAGCTTTGTGAGCGTCAACTATTTTCAGTTTCAGTTTTCTAGACAACTGCTTAGAAGAACCCATGGTGCCGATTGTTGGGGCAAGGTCAGATGAGTCTGGGCATTTAAAACCTTTGAGATTGACATCACCTGGTCTTCCCAGACAATGATTGAGAACAATCCATGACACTGGCAGGTCTCAGCTTGGCAAAGGGGGCAGTGCATGCTATAAATTCTGCAGGGTGCCCAAACTTTTGCAGATGCCATTTTTTTGTTTTCTGTTATTTTGAAAGTGTAAATGATGGCAATAAAATCTAACTTTTGTTGACATATTATAAGAATGTCTAATCTGTAATTTGATGCCTTTTGGAGATTTTTCCATCTTTCCTTGGCTTCTTTATGCACATTAATACAAATTTTTAGCTGGGGTGCCCAAACTTTCGATCCCCACTGTATGTCCCTTGTTCTGGTATTTCTGTTTGTGATTTTGGCTGCAAATTAAGCTTTAAAACAATCATATGGCCTTTGGTGAACCAGAACACCTACCCAGAGGCAGTAGGGCTTTGTCTGGCCATGCGTAACTGACTTTCACTTTTAGAGGGAGATGTTTGCAAACATTTTACTGCACTCTGAAGTCTCCCTGGGAGTACTTCGTACTCTAGAGCTGCTGATTTAGTACCACAATGATAGAATAGGATTGTTACAAACAAAATGTAATTTTCATCTAAAACTTATTATTGCAAACACAATGTTCTCCTATGCCCACTACCCACCTATGAGGCTTTTCTCAGGAGGTGGAGCGATAATGAACCCATTCTGGGAATGCTTCTCTGACAGCTTCTCGTACAGGCCCAGGAAGTCACTGAACCTTCTCTTCACAGTAAAATTTTTGCTTCGGAACATTGGTAAATTGGTCTGAAATAGGTAAAAAAAAAAAAAAGAAGAAAGAAAACCATAATTAAGAGGAAAGTCAAATAAGCATATGTGCTTACCCAGATTAATAATAACAAACGGCTCAATTGTCCACATGAGGCCTCATGCACACTGAACATTTTTTCAGCTTTTTCTGAGGGCGTCAGGCAGTTTTTTTTTTTTTTCTTTTTTCAAAACTCCCCTGAATGTTAGCCTATGTGTTCATGCACACATAGGCTTTTAGCAGCATTTAGTGACAGCAGCTTTTAGAGGCAGTAGAAAAAAAAAACACCTCCACTGCCAGTGTGTCCAGGAGCAGCAGAGTTCTGGCAAAGAAAATGCTTGACACTGCTAAACCAACACTTGAGGGTTTATTCATTTTAATACCTAGGATAAATTATTATTCTGGCCAATGAAATGAATTAAACTCTTGACGCCGGTAAACGTGCCTAAAAGCTTTAGACACTTTTAAAAGAATCAGTTTTTTTTTTCCTGCCAAAACGCTGTTGCCAGCAGGAAAGACTTCTAGGAGAGTTTGCAAAACGTCCTGTGTGCATTAGGCCTCACGACTAAAGTTTCACAGTGAGTGAGGAACACAGCCTACCAGTGCGAATAAACAAAGTACAAGGTATGTTCACATAGTGAAGGATATAAAATTATGAATAATTTGAAAATGGTGAATTTAAAAAAAAAAAAAAAAAGGAGCGCAGGTCATATACTCAATCTGAGAAAAGCCATAACCATAAAGAACTGTACTATTTAAAATAAAATTACGCTTTTGCAAAGAGAATATTGGAGTAGAAATACATTTACATTGGAGAACTTTTTTATTTATATACGTATTTCTGCTGCTTACCCGGGTTGAAACTTGATAAGCTACATACGCATTCATTCCATCACCTGAGGATAAAATTTGATTTGTTACTCAATCATAGGCTACCAATCCAACAGTAAGATCACAGTCATCTTTTCAAGTATCAAACACCAATAAAACAAATATTAATAGAGCTGTTTACTAGCTGTGACTTGCTGGCTATTATTCTCTAAAATATTGTATTCTCATATATATGTATGCTTTTATGTATATATTTTTCAGAACATTTACATGTAGAATGATTGAAGCAAAAAAGGTAACTCTGCACAAACATGTCAAAATAATGAAAGAGGCAGTTGTGTTTACCAAGTGCTTGCTGAATGAGTCAGTGAGTTTGCCTGACATCTCAGGAGGATACAAGAGGTTACCACACATTACACAGAATAAAATTAGTCATTCTGAAAGATCGCTCACCAATCTTCTCAGGGTCTGTGATATTGATGTTAAGCTCAAACTGGTCCTCTTGCTCTTCCTCTTCTAACTGAGAACAGCCAGAAACCAATTATTTATTTAATTTACATGCAATTATAAACTTAGAAAGAGACCCTGTCATAAAAAGAAAAAAAAAAAGTATAAATTGCAGACACCTAGAAGTGTCTGAACAGACCTGCACTGGCCTCTAATAACCTACTTTATTGCCTAATGCATTGCGGCTTTTAAAGGCAAAGCTCTGAACACTACCTCCGTCCCCCACACATTGATCACCATGATGGGCTAGCCTCAATGGGCAACATGAGGGCCAAGCAAACTTTGGTACTATTAGAAGTGTTGAAGCTTCGACAGTCACTATGGCCTGATGTTTAGATGTAAAAGCATTGTATTAGAGACACATCTAGGTGCCTGCTTGCTTTTTTTTTTTTTTTTTTAAATGACATTCTTTTGCATGAGGACACAATCCCAAGATTAGATCCAAACCCTATTCAATCAGCGAAGCACCCTAAAATAATACATAAGTAATAAAATGATATTACTCTAAATAGTTGCTGCTAAAACACTGTTAATGACTTCACAACACCTGTACCAAAATTAACAATATAGTGTAACAAAACAAATCTCTCATAAAAATCAATCAAAAACAATAAATTAAAGTCCCATGAAAAAGTCTCTTATAACACCACTGTGCAATGTGTAAAATAAATCTTCTCTCTTCTTTAGTGCCAACACCATTAGGTGAAAAACCTGCTCACCTCACTTTATGACCTCATCAATAAGTCATTATGAGCTCAACATATGGCCACACTTGTGTACACCCTCTGTGGTCTTCCTCCAGCTCCTCTCCTGACACTGCCACAGTTTACACTCCTCCAGCTGACACTCTCATATAATATGTATTATTGAAAACAGAAAAGTGGAACCACAGTGCTCTCTATTTTAAAATGATTTATTAGTGCCCAGATTAAAACCACTTACAAGATGTAAGCAACAATCCAGCATATAATGTATATTTCGTTACATGGCTCACCACCCTGTTCTCCTGGATGGTCATCAATTCAAAATGTCTAGGGCTCAGCTTCATCCACCTATTACACGTTACGCCCCAGATTCGTGCTTCCTCAGTAGGCCTTTTGAATTGATGACCACCTGGACTTTTATTATTGTTTATTGATTTTTTTATATGAGATAGTAGTTTGTTGTGCTACACTATATTGTTATTAACAATCCCAAAATTAGTTACAGATTTTTCAGCATGTTTGATTGTTTCTATGATATTGAAGCAATAAACTAGAGTTGGTTAATTGATAGCTTGAAAGGGGGTGGAACTAACACAGACTCTTTAATGCAACGTAAAAGCTTTATTTCGTTTTTTTTTTTTTTACAACAAACATGTTATACTTACCTGCTCTATGCAATGTGTTTGCACAGAGCAGCCCTGGTCCTCTCTAGGGTCACCTGCCGGCGCTCCTGTCCCTTCTCTTCAGTGGGTACCTCTATGGAAAGCGGCTTTCCAAGGGGGCACCCATGTAGGTTCGCTCCCGAGCTGCCCTGTCTGCATCCATTGACAAAGAGCAGGTGGCTCGGCCCACTGAGGCAGCGCAGCATTTGACTGAAAGCTGTGCAAGACAATAGCTCCTTCTATCATTTTGCCCAGGAAGGAGGGAGACAGCAGCTCTAATGCCCATCACTGGATTAGATCGGGCTCAAGTAAGGATAAGGGAGGGTGTGTGGGGGAGGGGATTTTCCTGCAGCACAGGTGGTTTTTCACCTTAATGCAGAAGGTACACGAAATTGACAGGTACCCGCTCCCACTTCCATTGCGATCACCTAGGTGACAGGTCCCAGAAGACTACATGGCCATTCAGGAAGCATAGCGCTACTCGCACATGCGCAGTGGGCACCCAGCTGTGAAGCCGCAAACTGTCACACCCGGGTGCCCACACTGAAGATGCCAGCGCCTGGACCACCAGACGGCTGGTGAAACGGGCTGCGGGGAGGACAGCTTGGGATCATGGGACAGGTGAGTGTCTGTTTTTTTTTTTAAAGTCAGCAGCTACAGTTTTTGTAGCTGCTGACTTATTTTTTTACAGTGTGAGTGGAACTCCACTTTAAGGCTTTAGAACCATATTAAGTTCTGGAAATGTCATTAAATAACATGCTTTATTGTTTCTGCACCTAAATTACCTCTTCATAGGTCTTCTGCTTGGGGGGTGCAGAGGCTGCTGCAATGAGCATAGGGGTTGTGAGTTGCGGCTCCTCCTTCTGACTACTGTGAGAACTGTCCACTGACAGCTTGACGGTAGATTCTGCAGGATATGAAAGACTGTTAAACACAGCGACCACAAACTGCAGAGGATATGCAATAAACTCAACAGTATACCTGCAAAAATATCCTGGTCATCATCATCCAGGAAGAGGCCATTTTCTCTTGAGGTTTCCTGTGGAGTCTCCTTCTTGGGCTCTGGAGCGATTACTTGTTTACTCTGAAAGAGAAGTGTGCAGGGAATAGTGAGGTGAGGAGCTTAAGCCAAATGAGGACAGGGGTCATAGATACAAGTAGAGTTACAGTTACAGTAAAGTTACAGACAAGATCTCAGCAGGAGTTTTCCCCTATTCAATCTGGAAGAAAGCCAGCATGAGATGCCCATTACACTGAGCCACATGCTGAATCTACCTATAGGTGTAGTGATTTGCATCTGTCTAGAAGATGTGAACTTTACATGTATTTTGGTCATGCACAAAATATACCTGAGCAAAGTACACATTGTGTCCCACAGCAATCAAAAATTCTACTACCACTTTATATTTTCACAGAATTGGCAAATGAATGACAGACTTGGTTGTACTAGAAAATACTCTTCCTCCAAAAGCTGTTAAACACAAAGTGAGGAAATTACTAAGATTGGAGCAGACAGATTCTGAAGCAGATGTGCATTGCAACCAATCAGCTTCCAGCTTTCATTTTCAAAGCTGCTAAAGCTAGTAGCTGATTGGTTACTATACACAACTGCTACAGTTTTGGTACAGTGCCTTGAAAAAGTATTCATACCCCCTGAAGAGTTTCACATTTTGTCATGTTACTACCAAAAACAAATGTATTTTATTGGGATTTTATGTAATAGACTGGCACATAATTGTGAAGTGGAAAATGATAAATGGTTTTCAAAATTTTTTACAAATATGTGAAAAGTGTGCCGTGCATTTGTGTACAGCCCCCCGGAGTCCAAACTTTGTAGAACCACCTTTCGCTGCAATTACAGCTGCAAGTCTTTTTGTTGATGTCTCTACCAGCTGTGCACATCTAGAGAGTGACATTTTTGTCCATTATTCTTTGTAAATAATCAAAAATTGCCACTCAATATAAATACAAAATTAAAAAAAAAAAAAAAAATCAAAAATTAAAATTATGTCCAAAAATCCAAAGTCCAAAACTATAACCCCAGTGTTTGTAGTTGTCTTATATGTTATCCCACACAGTAATCTCAATATTAGAGCCTCCCACAGGCTTGGACGATCAAAATCACCTCAAAGAAAAATGAAAAGAAAAAATACATAGTGCATTATCCTTTTTACAAAAATAAACTATAAGTGAATGCACTCCACAAATGAACACACTTGTGAATCCTCTACATTGATTAGAGTGCAAGTGTATTAGTGAATCATGCGTTGTGCCACACAAGTGAAAAACCGTGTTCACTTCTATTAAAGTAAGGAATAAATACCCTTACCAGAGCAATAAAATAATTATGCCTTAGTATAAACATGTAGCAGAGTATAAGACATGTAGCGCTGATTTCCCCAACTGACAGCAGAGTATATAAGAGATGTAGCGCTGATTCCCCCCAACTGACAGCAGAGTATATAAGAGATGTAGCGCTGATTCCCCCAACTGACAGCAGTGTATAACAGATGAATGGAGCGCTGATCCCTCCAACTGACAGCAGTGTATAACAGATGTAATGCTGATTCCCCCAACTGACAGCAGAGTATATACAGATGTAGCGCTGACCCCCCAACTGACAGCAGAGTATATACCAGATGTAGTGCTGATTCCCCTCAACTGACAGCAGAGTATATACAGATGTAGTGCTGATTCCCCCAACTGACAGCAGAGTATAAGATAGCGCTGATTCCCCAGAGTATAAGTGGAGCGCTGATTCCCCTCAACTGACAGCAGAGTATAAGATGTAGCGCTAATTCCCCCCCGACAGCAGAGTATAAGAGATGGAGCGCTGATTCCCCCCAACTGACAGCAGTGTATAACAGATGTAATGCTGATCCCTCCGACAGCAGAGTATATACCAGATGTAGTGCTGATTCCCCTCAACTGACAGCAGAGTATATAACAGATGTAGCGCTGACCCCTCTGTCAGAGTATAACAGATGTTGTGCTAGTTTTTGTGGTTTCAAATCTATTCTGACAGATTTACAACTGACAAGCAATAGCTGCTGCTAACTGGAATTAAAGGGTTGGTTAGCCTGTTCAGCTTATCTGGCAAAGGACTACATGTCAAGTATACATACACAAAGTCTCCAATAACTGTGAGCAGAACCAGTTATGCTTGGAGAAAGAGAAGTAAACAAATGCCTTTGTTAGTGAGAACAAGTTATTTCTCAGTGCTAGCGATTACAGATGTATTGGTAAAACATATTTCAGCTTTCTATAAACCCCTACAGTGTTCATAAAAGGAGGATGTATCTGTATGGTATGCATACATATGTAGAAGATCATGCCAGCTTTTTTAAAGTTGAATAGATAACAGTGACTTACTCTTCTTCCTCCTAAATGACAGCGCTGGTGCTTGGTAGATTAGGCACCTAGTTCAATCTAACGGGTAGGGGAGGTCCTTGTTATGCAGTTTGGGCGTTGTATCCTTTTCTCACTTTCAGCAACCAATCACAGAGGCACAGGAGGGAAAGGAAGATGACTTTGTACAATTGGAGAGGGTGGCAGTAAGAGTGAGCTCACTGTTTTACCCTGCATGGACAGAGTACAGTTTCACTTTAGACAGATAGGATTTTTAAGCTGACTTTTGGCAAAGCTTACGCAAACTTTTTCCTTTACATAACAGACGCTGCGTGTGCCGTCATGGGCTGTAGCAGCATTAGCTACATACAGTTAACTGCGTTGTGTTCCAGCAGCAGTATATGTGACTTCCCATCTGCTTCAGCCTTACATTTTAATCAATGAATACAAGGCTTCCTCTGATTGGCTGGGGCGTATAGGCGAGTGGATGACGTAAAAATTTCTGGGGAGTTGTTAACCTTTAATTGACACCGGCAGCAGATCGCGAGATTGAGACGTGGTGGGGGAAACGCACATGATTCGCTGCGTTTCCCACACTGCATATCCGTGAACCTAGGCTGATAGTCAACTAGTATGAATCCAGTACAGTTGGAACAATCCTCTCACTGTGATGTAATGAATCATCACCTGTACAAAAGGAGAATCTGGAAACAGGTGATCTCACGGATGTCACGCTATATGTATTAGAGCAGGCTGGTCACGCCTCTGTTCTTCCAGTAGCCACCTGCACGCTTAAGTGAGCCTGTGTTGCTGACAATGACATTTATTTAACACAACCTGGAGGCAGTTCCTTAAAGAAGATGTGTAAGAAAAGATAAACATTACCCCAAGCAGAAACTCAACTATTTACATGTACACTGTATCCTTCTGCACTCAGCACTGCATTTTTTTTTAGCAAGGTCAACTATTTATCCACCATTCCACACCCCTATAATCAATCAACATACTGATTCGTAAAAAACCCTACAATACCCATCAAAAGTGATGAGATGATGAAATGACGACACTTTCCACGCACCAAGTTGTGTTGCCAGCCTAAAGCTGCAGTCTAGGTTAAGTAATTCTTATATAGTTACATTAGTCTAGCTCACCTTATACCTGTGGAATCTCCATCGAAGCTGGAAATCACTACGGTGGGCACTGACACAACAGCCATTGCATTGGCTTCAAACTTCCGGCTTCCTTGCCAATGGTTGCCCTGCTGCTTACTGAACACAGAAAGTCACTTGCCTGGCAAGGGTGCCTGTCAGAAAAAATTTAGCATTTTCCTAGTGAATGCAAAGTAATCGCTGATTGGACGAGGAGGAGATCATGATGTCACCGCACCTCCTCTCCACAGAGAAGGCTTTGCATTCATTGAGAAAATGCAAAATATGTGCTCTGATTGGCTCCCATTATTATTATTATACAGTATTTATATAGCGCCAAAGGGTTTGCTCAGCACTGTACAATAGCAAGGGGGACAGAACATGAGACAAGACAGTAACAATACAATACACAAGGGGTTCGAGGGCCCTGCTCTTTCGAGCTTACAATCTAGGAGGGAGAGGAAAGTGGTACAGGAGGAAATGGTTGTGGGGGATGGATGGAGTGGTGGGAGGAGTGGAGGTCGTCAGTTGTTAGGTGAGGGTGGGGTAGTCTTCCCTGAAGAGGTGGGTTTTCAGGGTGCGCCTGAAGGTGAGGAGGGTAGGTGACAGTCTGATGGATTGGGGTAGGGAGTTCCAGAGGATGGGGGAAGTCCTGGAGAAGTCCTGCAATGCCGAGCAAGTGGCTTCCTGTGTTTACACAATGCAGCAAGACAGCCAGGACCCGGAAGCAAATAGAGATCACTTTGGTAGTGGTGCCTACTAAAGGGATTTCCACCTTCCATGGGGATCCCACTGGTATGGTTCAAGCTGGACCAATGTAACTGTGTAAATATTGCCATAGACCAAAAAGAGTGTATATGGACCTGGGATTATTCAATGTGTCTAATGGTACGAACATCCCAAGTATAAATAATATATAGAAGAAAAATGTAAGGGATCTTTAAAGTGGTAGCAAACCAGAGGTGTGGAAATTTTGAAAAAAAACTACTTGTCCAATGATTAAATCGGGGTCCCAATCTATTTATGCCTCATGACAATCTACTTGTCCTGATAAAAAAAAAAAAAAATTTTTTTAACCAAAACCCTATTTAAATCTGAGGTACATGTAAGAATGTCTGGGGCTTTTAAAAATAAAACTAGAAATTCTGAAGGGTCCCTCTGCACACTGGTATATACCCTTTCCAGCAGACCATGCAATAAATAGGGATATTTAGTTCACACATATTGCAATACATGCTTAAGCTGGCCAACTGCGTCAAAGTAATCCCTCTATGGCCAGTCCTACTCCGCCCTGCCTACGCAAATGCTACTGTGGACACAATGCTAGCATAGGGAAAAGACAAAGTGGGGGAGAGATACAACCTTGTAGCTCTCTCCCATTGTCTTTTGTTCAGAGGGTTCTTCTGAATTTCTAGTGTTATGTGGTTACACCCCTTTAGCACCGGATGGATAAATGCATGCACTAGCTTTTGGGATTTGAGCACAGGGATCTCGTTTGTTTTAAAAATAAAAATGGACTTTATGGTGACAAACTTTTAATATTTTTAACATTGCACTGCTTATCGCCTACTCACCTCCCTGTGTGTCT